TTTTTTTTAAGATTTTATTTATTTATTTGACAGAGAGAGACATAGCGAGAGAGGGAACACAAGCAGGGGGAGTGGGAGAGGGAGAAGCAGGCTCCCCACCAAGCAGGGAGCCCAACACAGGACTTGATCCCAGAGCCCTGGGATCATGACCTGAGCCCAAGGCAGAAGCTTAACGACTGAGCCACCCAGGCGCCCCTCTGCGCTGGTTTTGAGGACTAGTCCAACCAGCAACACCTGACACGCACCTCGCTCACACCACGTAATCACATGGTGAGAGAGGAGCTGATACCCCCTCCACAAGTAGTATGCTGTCCCGAGGGCCCGGGCCACACTGGCTGCCTCCAAAGCCCGTGCTCCTAACCGCTAGCCTCCTGACCTGCCACTCAGAAGAAGCATTTCCAGGGACGCCTGGGTGGCTCAGTTGGTTAAGTGCCTGCCTTTGGCTCAGGTCATGATCCCAGCATCCTGGGATCGAGCCCCGCATCGGGCTCCCTGCTCAGCGGGAAGTCTGCTTCTCCCTCTCCCTCTGCCTGACGCTCCCCCTGCTTGTGCTCTCTCTCTCTCTGTCAAATAAATATTAAAAAAAAAAAAAGCATTTCCAGAGGACAGAGAAACACAACATTTGGATGTACACCTTATATGAAGATGTCTTAAGGTGGATTCAAATGTAGAGATGAACGAGTCTTAGGACACCAAGCAAAATCCCATAGAAAGAGTGCCCTACAGATAGGGCAGGGATTGATGAAGGACCAGACAGTAAACATTTGGGGCTCTCTAAGTCCCTGTGGCAACTACTCAGCTCTAGCCATTATAGTGCAAAAACAGCCACAGACAAGAAACAAAGGGGTGAGGAGGGTTCCAAACACTTTACCTCTAAAAAAAGGAGGCTCAGCCAAGGCGAGCTTGCTGCCCAGGCCTTAGACCATGGGAGTCCTGTGGAATTGTTGAGTCAAGGAGAGACATGACCTGGTTGATGAGTATTTTAGACTGAACTATGGGGACTACCAAAAGATGGAATCAGCGTGCTTTAGATGTCCTCTAAAATCCTGGTTTTACCATGCTTCTGTTACTCCAGTTGTTATGAACAAATGGGAGTGGTTCTGTTTCAATCAATGTTTATTTATGCAACCTGACAGAGGTTCAAATTTGACCCACAGGTCACAGTTTGCTGAACTCTTCTGCTCTAGGATCTCAAGTCAGGGATTCTAAAAAATCAGTAATAATCTGAAGTCAGCTACTAGGATTCTTCAAATACCTGCCCCAGCTACTGAAGACACATTTATAGCACCCTAATAGGCTCTGATCATGCCAAATGGGGATGGGAGAAAGAAGGTGTTTTTTTCTCTTTTTTTTTTTTGGTCTAATAATGGGATTGACTCAGAGCAGACACAGATCCTAGCCATACAGGATCAGCTCTTTGCTCTCTCAGGGCAGGCATCTAGGCATGCTCTGTACATGGGCTGCCTCTGTCACAGAAAAAGAGATTGCAAACCACTGGCTCAAGCATCCTCACCCCCACTGTGCCAGCCTAGCTAAACCACTGAATATCCTGTGGTCTTTGCATCTCCTGACATCAACCACCAGAGCTACCTGGCTGTTGACATGCCCACCACTGGTACCGATGGACTCCAGGGGAAGCACACACCGTCAGAAAGGCTCTCCAGCTTCCCATGACTGACTCTGGACCGTATCATCTTGCTCAATCCCAGTCGTTGGTGCCCAGAACTGAGAAATGGAGGCCAGGCTGACAAATTTTTAATAACAAAAACTAGCTGTCTGCTTGGGAACATCCCTAAGAAGATGCTGTTAGTGTTTTCGGTTTCACTCAGTGTGGCGGTCCTCCAAGATTGGGGGGGGGCAGTTTTGCACCCCACCCCCCATGTCTGGACACATTTTTGATGGTCACACTAGGGGGGTGCTATTGGCCTCTAGTGGATCCAGGTGCCAGAGATGTTGCTCAGCATCCTACAGCACGTGAACAGTCCCCACAACAAAGAATTATCTAGCCCCAAATGCCAAGAGTGCTGACGTGACAAACCCTGTTTTAGTGGTATTTCGCCACATGATGGTCCCAGTGCGTCGAGGACATATGCACAGTCCAATTAAATTCCACAGACTCAGCCCCAAAGAGCACTTTGACTGACATGCCGAGTCGATGAGACGCAAGAGAAAAGCAGCAGCGTGTGTTACATCTGCTGACGGGGCCTGCTGGGTTGTTTCTTTGCTGTTTTTGAGAAAAAGAAGGACTTTGCTAACGTTCACCTGGAACCCAGTTTTGTAGTTCCTCTGAGCTCCAAACTCCTACGCGGTGGCCAAAATTCTAACAGACTGCTCTGGCGTTCTGCTAACTTTCTACAGCATATAGTGTCTGCGAGGTTGAAAGCTAAGACCGCATCACTGCTCCCGAGAACGTCGAGGAAGCCTAGCCTAGGAGATGCTCGGCAGAACAAAGGAAATACGAACACTCAAAACAACTAGGAAAATTTAAAGTCTACAAGTTTACCATTTGTGGGGTTTCTTCTTTCCCCTGGAAAAGGTTTGACAGACTGAGATCAACAGAAGGATGAAATTACTAACGGACTACTCCTCTCTCTCCCAAAATACTTAACATGGAACGTACCGAACCAGAAACTTAAAAACAGCGTCCACTTTACTGGCTATATTTATTTGTTGCACATGAGTGACATTAATGGTGACAGTTTCATTTACTCTTTCTGATGGTTTATCTGTGGTATTTGAGAAATATTACAGAAGACTGAAGTCAATGAGTAATTTTCAAATGCACCCTCTGAAAAACTACCTAGTTGTTTTTCAGTATGGGTTCTCAAATTGGAGTCTCATTTTTTAATCCATCAGATCAAAAAAAGAGGGGGGACATTTATTTAGACATGTTGAAAGCCAATGCCTATAGACACCGCCAAATCAGATAGATTAAAAGCAGAGAAGTGTGATCATTCCAACAGTAGGCACTGAAAAAGAATTTCCACATTGTGTGTTCAAAGCAACCATTTTCAGGGCGCCTGGGTGGCTCAGTCGGTTAAATGTCCGACTCTTGGTTTCAGCTCAGGTCATGATCTCAGGGTCATGAGATCGAGCCCCGTGTTGGGCTCCTCTCTGGGCCCGGGGCCTGCTTAAGACTCTCTCCATCCCTTTTGTTTGCACTCGCACATCCTCTCTCTAACACAAATAAAAAAAAAATCTAAAAAAAAAAAAAAAAAAAGCAACCATTTTCTCCTTACCAAAAATTTATATATGAAATTTAAAAGTAACCAAATTTCCTGGATCCTTTCAAAAACAACAAAAAAAATTATGTAAAACTAAGTATGATTTCCTGCATTTGAACTCAAGCTTCCAACTGCTGCTGATCATTTTCTAGAAAACTCCATATACTTCAGAGTCCATGACCGATGGGTCACAAGGTGGAACACCACCATTTTCCACCTCAACCAACCCCTTTCTTGCATCTCATTTATATTACACCTCAGGGTCCCAAACCCTGAGGCCACTAAGGTCTCTGTTCAGTGACTAGACTTGTCAGTGAGCAACAGGACAGGCCATGTTCTAGGGATTAAGTCCTTGGTCATTACAGGAGAGCTGGGAGGTGTGTTCCCCACAACACAGTAGGATCCAAATTTCATCTACAATTTCTGTTTTGTATTTGTGCATCTATGCTTTTTAAAGTATTTTGCATATATACGTATATTTTTGTGTGTATATATATAAAATAGCAGAAAGTATACACTGAGGTGTTAATTATGGTTATTTCCTAGAGTAGTAGATTTATATGTGATTTTCTTTATTCTTGGGGGTTTTATTTTTTGCACGTCTATAGCTTCCAACTTTTTCTATATTAAGCATAACTTTTGCCAAAAGAAAAATAAGTAATATTCTGTATGCATTCTTTTTTTTTTTTTTCCACTCAACCTCATTTCTAAAACAGTTTTAGGTACCTGACAAAAAAAACCCAAAACACAAAAAAACATGTACAGTAAGACTTCTTCCAAAGTCAGGGCAGTTAGAGACAAGGGCAAGGAACAAGAGCAGTCAACTCTCAAGAAGCCAAAGAGGAAAGCTATTAGCCAGCACGTTAATCGCTAGTGTCCTACGTCCTGGTCTGAGGGAGACACACACTTGGCTTGGAGTTTCTCCCCACCCACCTTACCTCACCCTGCCCACCGCCCCCCCAGTCCTCATTCCTGCCCACATTCCTCCCCACCCTCCTTACCTCACCCCCACCCCACCTTAATTAAGTTTTGGTTTAGGGAAAGATAATGAGAATATTTTTCTACATTCCCTGATCATACTCCCAGATGAGATCATGCAATCCAGAAATGTGCTGAGGGAAGAAGAGCTAGCTGCAAATCCAACCAAGAGCTCTAATAACTGTTCTGTCCCCCTGCTCCTGGGGCTGGGTGTTAGTCCCTGGGCACAAGAGCTTAGAGGCTCCCCAAGGGCGTGGCTTTAACTTTCTAGAAGTGTCCCTCTGCGTGCAACTCAATGCCGCAAAGTCAGTGGCAAAAGATGCACTCAATCCATGACAAAACCAAGGTGGCGAGGCTCTGGGGTCCTTTCGAGGCAAAGCCACACTCCATGAAGAAGCCCCAGGAGCCCCAGTAGCCCGACGCTTACCGTACGCTGTCATGACGCCGGCGTAGGGCCCATCCACCACATTCCGATTTTCCTCCGCCAGCGCCTTGATGTACCTCTTGCTGAGGTCCAGGATCTGCTCACGCAGCATGGAGCTGCTCTCGGGCTGAGTTCGCTGCTGGATGGTAAAATGCAGGAGCATCATACCCCAGATGAAGCCAAAAGTCACAAGAAAAAAGCCCAGCTTCTGAGAGGACAGCTTCCACGGAGTAAAGAGAGCCATTGCTCTCCAGCAACTTCACCTGCCCTTGGCTCCTAAAATGTAGAAGGACACAAGTTCATGGTGCAGGCTGGATTTGTGGGCTCGTCGGTCTCACTCTAGCTCCTGCGTCAGCCGATTTCCTTTCCTCGTTTCCATCCTGCTGTGAAGAAGGGGGCAAGTTAGCAGAGTGGTCGTGGCAAAACACAGGGAAACCAACCAGGAGCCATGTTTTCACTCAAATAGCTCCAAAATGCGAACTTCCTTCTTTCTTAATTTGCTGGTTCAATATCTTATGTTATGATTCCAGATCTGTAAGCTGAGAGGGGAAATCTGGCTAGGCGACAAAAAAGCTGCACAAATACAGAGGAGGAAATGTGTGTCTGCCTATGTTAACAGGTGTAGCAGGGCTGTTCCAGTCTGGACCAAGTTCAAAACAGGAAGCTTGTTTTGCAAGGTGGGGAGGAGATGGAAGGATTTCACTGAATGTCAGCAAAAACCCAAGTGGAGGGCGGAGTCATAGCACCCCTGGGTACTTCTGTGCATCTGTAATTGGAGCTTACAAAGTCATTAGTATGTGCTGTGGGGCAAGGATTAGCGCCTGCAGCTGGGGAGGTGAGCAAGAGAGTAGGCATCTCCTCAGGGGTCATTAGACCAGGAAAGGGGAGCAAGCCCCCATATTATGTAAGCACGGCCAGCTTGCATTAGCAGTGTCCGGAGAGAGATGAGCCAAAGCTCTCGGGGCCACCAAGCGGCCTCAACCCAGGCACCAGTGCAGAGAGGCTATGCCAGGGGTACCCAGCGGTCGTCCTGTTCGAGCTGCCACGCGTGAAAGAGGTACCCCACCGCTCATTTGCACATTTCAGTGCAGGAAACATGGGGCACATGATAGACTCCTTTCCTGTAGTTCTCACTTTCACTCACACCGTGGGCAAAATACGAGGTTAGAGGGCACAAAGGCACAGTTTCAATACTCATCAGCCAGATCCTACTGGGTGCCCTATTTGGGCCAAGGTCTTAAAGCAATTCTTCCCAAAACATGAGGCCGAAGCGGAAGTTGCAAATGGGTTACAAGTAGGCCAAACTCTCTACCCCCTGAACCAGAGTCCTGGGTCCAACAACCAGCCAGGTCACAAATGGCACCATTTTCTAAGTGTGCCAGGGGAAAAGCTGAGCAATGGTCTCCATGCGGGACGACTCAGAGGGTGCATATGTTTTCATTCTAAGTATTCTTCTTTGTAAGCAGCCTAAGAAGGAAGGATGGTGAGATCTTAGAGCAATCATCTTTCAGAATCTGTAACGCAGCGGATCTGAACTGGTCCTCCTGTTTTCCTCACCTATGAATGGCCATCAGTGGTTGGTAGTAGTGCTACGAATAGTAAATGCTAAATAAATTCTAGGTATGCCCCAGGCATCATGCTAAATGCATTTTGTGCCTTAGCTCACTGAATTCTTGGAGTCCTCGATGGTAAGAACTACTACTATCATTCTGTTTTATAGATGGGAAACAAAGGCCCAGAGAGATTAATTTACCCAAAGTCAGCCAGCTATGGGGCAGAGGGGTAATCTCGGGACAGCCGAGGACTGTGCATACCATGCCCTGCCTTCCCTACGCCACCCATCTTTCCCCACCAGCCTTCTTACCCATGGCCAACACGTGCGTGTTCATGCTTCAAGGGTTGTAAAAAGCAACAAAGAAGAAAATGTGACAGAAATCCTATGTAGCTCAAAAGCTTAAAACGTTTATTATTGGCCTCTAACAGAAAAAGATCACCGACACCTGAATTCTAGGCCAGTGGCTCTTCAAAGCACGGTCCCGAACTCCACAGCAGAAACACCAGCGAGAGGCCCCAACCCAGACTGGCTTAAATCAGCAACTCGGGGGGGTGGGGCGGGGGGGCAGGCAGCCACCTGTGCTCCAACAAGCCTTCCAGGCGATTCTGATGCCTGCTCCAGTCTGAGAGCCGCTGAGCCAGGCCCACAGATGTCGTCTCTACAGCAGCACCACTGTGCCGTCTACACAGCGTGGCTCCGACTCCCTCCTGCAATACCATGTCACTGCAATTCCTCGGGCCCGGCCGCACCCTCCGCACCTGCTGGCTGGCTGTCACCACAACCCTGCACATCCTCCTTCATGGTCTCCCCGTACTCACTCACGCTGCTTTCCCTACCTGGCTGGCCCTCTGCAGATCACACGGATCATCCAAACCCAGCCTGCTCCCCAAGCCCCAGCTCCGCTCACACCGACTCCAGACAGCTTTCCCTACTGCTGCGGCTTATGATGTCCCTCACTAGTCCACAGTTTAAAACACCTGTCTGTCTATATAGAATGTCTGCCAGTTTCTGTGTGGGATCCCGTGACATCCTATAAGGGAGCCCCCTGCCCCCCACCACCACGTACATTCTCAGAGAAAGACGTCGGCCCCAGGGATACAACGAACCACCTGTTGACCAAGCAACGTGTCCTCCAGGCACTAGAGCTCTTTATCGGGCCCTTCCAAATGAGGGCTCCGTGAGCAGCACCTGCACCTCTTTCTTTCCTCCACTCATTCTATAGTATATACTGAGTCCATGCTGCCATCGGGCCCTGGAGACTCAACAAACAGCCCCTCGTGGGGCTGATGCTTTAAAGCCACTTCTCCGACTGGGGGCCGCCCCTGGGTCCTTAGGAAGTGGCTATGCTTCCTGTTCAATAATCCACACCAGTGAGTCAACTGTACCCCAGGGCCAAAGGGATTTTCCCAGGGCAAGTAAACTAGATGCTATACTAAAAATGACAGTCAGCGGGCAATTTTCTTTTACTACTTTAGGGGAGAACCCCAAATGCATACAGGAATTACCTGTTAACTTTCAGACAGGAAACTCCACTCCACTTCGTCATTTAACCCTCTGAAGCAGCTGCTCAAGGCTGCAAGGTTGAAGCAAGGGCAGGGCCAGGTCCAAGGGCCTCAGCAGAAGGTGGCACGCTTCTCTGCCTTGGCCTTGGGGACGGTCAGAACCACCCACAGATGGCACATCTGAGTGGCAAGAAGATGTTAAGAAACCCAGCCAAGCTTAAGTTCTACCAGCTCAGAGACTTACAAATTTGGAGTGAAAAGCCCTCATTCTAAGTTCAGAGAATGGTTCTGATGACGGAGGGCCCAGATTTTAAGTAACCACAGAACTGCCAGGAATATTCTTTTCTCCCATGGAATCTACGGTGTGAAACAGCAGCAGCTATCTCAGCATACCCACAGCTCACACGGAGAACTGAATTAGAACTCATCTCTACAATTCCTAGTAACAGAATTTTAAAAGACTTTTTAAAACCATTACCTGGGACACGCCCCTAACTCCCACAGTAATAGCGTGGGGGGCGGGGGGCGCAACAGGACAGCAATCCTTACCAGAAGGTGCTTAATGATCAGAAGGGACTTAAGGATCATCATCATTGATGGCCCCAAAATTCATCAAGAGGCTGCAGAACAACACTGATCAAAAAGCGGTGGATCTGGCTAAGACTCTGCCTGCGTCCAGACTTAGCTGGATCCTCTTGCAAAATGGAGCCAATAGGCACAAAAATACAGTCTCTCTCAGAAGGCCTTGTTGCCCACCAGAGCAATGCTAGCCTGAGCCACGACGCCATCTGTCCTCCAGGAAGAAGTCTGCACCAAGTCTGTCGGTGATGAGCTAAGCTTCTAGGCCCACTGCTGCCACTAACCACTCTCATCCGCACCTCCTCTATTCCTGTACTTCCTAAAAGAGCAGCATTCACTTCCCTCCTCCCTATTCACTCCTCAACACAAGAAAACCTGGCATCCCCCTTTCCAGAACTGATCGAAGATCTTTGGCACGGAAATGTGTCAGTTCTCTTAATTTAAAAAGTAAAAGTGTATGAAAAGATGCACAACATCATTAGCCATTAGGGAAATGCAAATTAAAACCACAGTGAGATAACAGTTCATACCCACCCGGATGGCTATACTCAACAAGAGCTCAGAACCAGTGCTGGTGAGGATGTATAGAAATTGGAACCTTTATATACTGGCGGGTGGGAATGTACAATGATGTAGCTGGTGTGGAAAATAGTCTGGTGGTTCCTCAAATGGTTAACCACAGAGTTACCATGTGACCCAGGCAATGCCTCTCCTGAAATCCTCCCCAGAGAAATGAAAGCCTATGTCCACACAAAAACTTGTACACAAATGGTCATAACAACCTTTCTCATAATGGACAAATAAAAAGCCCAAACAACTCAAATGTCCATCAACTGACGGACGGATCAAAAAAAACACATAAAATGGCATACTAATAAATCAACGGCAATAAATTAGGTTCTGATATGTGCTCCAACATGGTCGTTCCCTAAAAACGTTATGCGAAGTGAAAAAAGGCAGGCACAGAAAACTACATGTTGTATCATTCTATTTGTATGCACTATCTGGAGGACACAAATCTATAGACGCAGAAAGTACAACAGTCGTCGTTCTGGGCTTGTGAAAACGGGAATTGGGAGGTGACAACCCAGCACACCGAAAATGTTCCAAAATTAATTGTGATGGATGCACAATTCTGTGATATATTAAAAACACTGAATTACACACTTTATATGAGAGAATTATAGGATATATGAATCGTATCTCAATAAAGCTGTTACTGAAAAAAGAAAAAAAGAGAGCAAGCCCACCTCCAAAGTTGGGGGTATGAGGAGACAGGCAGATGAGCCTCAGGGGCCCCTGCAGCCCCCGCAAGGACCCACCCCTTCCCCTCTTCCCCACAGCCCAGCCAAGGCCGGGCTGTCCCGTGACTAAGGGCTAACCACAGGCCTACTAACCAAAGGAAATTACATGGAGAAATCTGCCACCAGCTACCAGACATGGCTGCTTTTAAGAGCTCCCCATCCACCTCACAGGCCCTTCAAGGCAAGGCCTGCTTTGCCTGCCAGATGCCAACGTCTCAAACCATCTAAGAACACACAGAACAATAGCCCAGCTCCAGGGGAGATGGAGCAAACAAGCAATTCCTGCAGCTGCCTATCCAACATCCTTGGAGGGACCCATTTCTTACATCAGGAGCATTCTCTTCAGACGATGAGTGAAGCTGGAAACGCCTGTCCCTTCAGGAGCAACACCAGTCTCAACCAGAGATGTCACCTTTTCCTGCAGCCCCACAGGCCAATCCCCT